GGTTGAGAACCACTGTTGTAGCTGGTCTCAATTAAAGTCATTCTAGCCTTAAAGTGCAGTTGATTTCCTGCTCTGGGCTACCTAGTGGGGTTCTCCATTCCAGATAGTTTATAGTCTCACCAATTTTAGGAATACATAGATCTCATATATGGTGGTCTTATAGAACTTGATCCAATTAAAAATTGACTATTCATGTAGAATACTCTAAACAATGTTGGTTATTATACTTGAAGGATATGGTAAAGTTAAAAAAATGTAGAAAAAGCATTGATCCCAATAATTAAGGGACTAGAAAAATTTCCCACATTTTTTTAATCAAGATATATTTAAAATGGTATAGTGAGGATGGACAATTATTAGCTCTGCAGATGATTGATTTTATCAGCCCCAGCTGAGTGACTAACAGTAATAGCGACATCTGGTGGACCCCCATGACTCATCCAGAAAATAAAATTTTACCTTATTATATTAGAACCATTCAATGAAATCAAATTACAGAAAATCTATTAAAATAATTAAAAAGTATTCAAATAAATACATGCAGTACATAGTTAAAATATGGAGTTACCTACCTGAACATGCATTAATGATAATCAATTTGGACAATTTGTAACATGTTTTAACATGTCTCAACATGTTTTTTGTAATGTAGTAACCAAAACTGGATGCAGTATTCCAGGTGTGGCCTTACTAAGGCTTTGTAGAGCAGTACTAATACTTCAAGTAAATTTGATTCTATGCTTCTGTATACAACCAAGGATTATATTAGCCTTTTTGGCTGCTGCCAGACACTGCTGGCTGATGTTTAAGTGATTGCCCAGTAGGATTCCAAGTTCCCTCACAGTTACTGTTTTTGAGCCAGGTTTCACTTAATCTGTACTTGTGCCTTTGGTTTTTCCTGCCTAAGTGTAAAATCTTGTAGAATGCTTAATGAACCTCAGTTGATTCTCAGCTAGTGTTTCTGGTTTCCTATTTAAGGAGAACAAAAAAAAGAACAAAAAACTCCCCTTTGAATTTTGTTTGAAATGACTGTAAGTTCGGATTGCATCTTCAAAACAAAAATAACTCAGTCATATTCAGTTAGCTCCTTTAAGCTATTTTTTTTCAACTATCTATAGATTTTAGGGGGAAAATGAAAATTGAGCCTGGAAAAATAACAATTGAAACCTTCCCATTCATGATTTAGACTTAGAGTTTTTTAGGTAACAATAAAGAAATTGTTTATTTCTTCTTCCTTTCCTATAGAATAAGTGTGTTGAATCCTTCTAAATCACCTCTTTTCTTCTTATTAACTTGCTTTTTTCAGTTCAGAAAGCAGCAGTGAGAAACAAATCACATTCTGTGAGTAGAAATGGAGAATTTCTGAATTACTATCTACTTACCTCTGATTAATAAATAAACTCAACTAGTAGGCTATAATTGACCTAATGGCTGAAGAGTCCTGATAGCTGTTAGTGGTAACATAATGTGCCAAGTAAAGAAATTACCCAAGAAATAAGCTTTTATATGTTGCCTGACTATTACTTTTTAGCATCCTGTTGACTTTTACTTTCTTAACTAACATTAGCTTTTGCTAGAAGTGTTGCAGACTAATATCCTTCAAACAGATTTTTTTTCAGATTGTTGTTATTTATGAAGCAGTATCATAAATGAAATATTGCCATTCTTTCCTTTCAGAAAGAAATGGGATTTCTTTCCATTCTCCTATGGCTCTTTTCTAGTTTTGCTACTGACAAATATAAGTTTCATTGCACTACCTTAAACATTTCTGGTACTGCATGCATTTGGCACTGGGGGCAAAGTGTGTTTGTACCAGGGCAGTCTGTCTTTAGGCTAAGCAAAAGAATGGCGATAAGAGCTTTGTTTTCTCGCAGGAAATAGAAACATATGCATCGGAGAAAGGAAGTTTATTGTGCATTTATTGATTTATATAAAGTTATAATAGAGGAAATTTTTCACCAGTTGGCACGATCTGACTTCTAGTCCTTTCTGATCCTTATATGGTCATTTTATAAGTTATCTTGCATTTTGTCAAGCAGTTCAGCCAAAGCTTTGCATTTTCAGAATGCAGGATTTATATTCTGGAAAGTGCTGTTTGAATTGCATCTCTCCTGAGAGCCTGTTTCATATACAGCAGGGGTGGAGAACTATGGCCCCTTTATGACCTGTGAACTTCAACTCCCAGAATTGATAATGATGATGATGATGATGATGATGGAAGGGACCTTGGAGGTCATCTAGTCCAACCCTCTGTTCAGGCAGGAAATCCTATACCATTTCAGACAAATGGCTGTCCAGTCTCTTCTTAAAGACTTCCAGTGTTTGGAGCATTCACAGCTTCTGGAGGCAGGTTGTTCCACTGGTTAATTATTCTAACTGTCAGTAAATTTCTCCTTAGTTCTAGGTTGGTTCTCTCTTTGATTAGTTTCCATCCATTGCTTCTTGTCCTGCCTTCAGGTGCTTTGGAGAATAGCTTGACTCCCTCTTCTTTGTGTCAACCCCTGAGATATTGGAACACTGCTATCATGACAACCCTCGTCCTTCTCTTCATTAAACTAGACATACCCAATTCCAGCAACTGTTCCTTATATGTTTTAGCTTCCAGTCTCCCAATCATCTTTGTTACTCTTCTCTGTACTCTTTCTAGAGTTTCAACATCTTTTTTACATCGTGGTGACCAAAACTGGATGCAGTATTCCAAGTGTGGCCTTACCAAGGCATTGTAAAGTGGTATTAACACTTCATGTGATCTTGATTCTATCACTCTGTTAATGCAGCCTAGCACTATGTTGGCTTTTTTGGCAGCTGCAGCACACTGCTGGCTCATATATAAGTGATTGTCCACTAGGACTCCGAGATCCCTCTCACAGTTGCTACTATTGAGCAAGGTATCACCTATATTATACCTGTGCATTTGGTTTTTCTTGCCTAAATGTAGAGCCTTACCTATTTCACCATTTAATTTCATTTTGTTAGATAGCATCCAATGTTCAAGTCTGTCAAGATCCTCCTGTATCTTAAGCCTATTTTCTGGAGTGTTGGCTATTCCTGCCAGCTTGGTGTCATCTGCAAATTTAATGAGTTCCCCATCTATCCCCTCTTCCAAATCATTGATGAAGATGTTGAAGAGCACTGGGCCCAGAACAGAGCCTTGGGGCACCCCACTACACACTTCCCTCCATGTAGATGCGGTTCCATTGAGGACCACACGCTGAGTACGGCCAGTCAGCCAGCTACGAATCCATCTGGTGTTGATGCTGTCTAACCCACATTTTTCTATCTTATCAAATAATAGGTTGTGGTCTACTTTATCAAATGCCTTACTGAAGTCCAAGTAAATTATATCCACAGCATTCCTCTGGTCCACTAATTTTGTCACTTGGTCAAAGAATGCAATAAGATTTGTCTGGCATGATCTGTTTTTGACAAACCCATGTTGGCTTTTGGTAATGACTTTTTTTGCCTTTAGGTGTTTGCTGATTCGTTGCTTGGTTATCTTTTCCAGAATCTTTCCAGGTATTGAGGTCAGGCAGATAGGTCTGTAGTTTCCTGGATCCATTTTTTTCCTTTTTTGAAGATGGGAACTACATTAGTTGTTTTCCAGACCTCTGGTAGTTCCCCAGTGCTCCAGGATCTTTGAAAGATATACTTCAGTGGTTCTGAGATCAAGTCTGCCAGTTCCTTCAGAACCTTGGGGTGTAGTCCATCTGGTCCTGGTGATTTGAACTCTTGTAGGGTGGACAGGGGCTCACTTACCATTTCCTTGCCTATCTTAACATGTTTCTAATCTGTTTTTTTACAGTACTGTTTTTGAAAGGTTGGACTATTTTTCCCCTTTGTGTAAAGATGGATGCAAAAAACGAGTTAAATAGTTCAGCTTTCTCCCTGTTGCTTGTCACCTTGCCACTTTCTCCCACTAATGGACCAATCATTTCCTTAACTTTTTTTTTGTTTTTTTACATGTTGAAAGAAGCTTTTTTTTGTTATTTTTTACTTTTTGTCGCAAGCCTTAGTTTATTTTGAGCCTTAGCTTTCCTCACTTCATCTTTGCAAGCTCGGGCTATTTGCTGATATTCTTCCTTAGTTATGTGCCCCTCTTTCCACTTTTTATACTTGTCCTTTCAATGCTGGGAGTTGAAGTCTACAAGTTATAAAGGGGCCATAGTTCCCCACCCTGCTGTACAATAATGATTAAGGCATCCAGCTAGAAACTGAGAGACTAGTCCCACCTCAGGCACAAAGCCAGCTGGTGGTCACTTTCTGTCAGCCCTAGGAAGGAGGAAATGGCAAACCTTTTCTGAAAAATCCTGCCAAGAAAACTGCAAGAAGCTGTCAGGCAGTCTCGGAGAACTGGACATTATTGAATATTGTGTGTGTGTGTGTGTGTGTGTGTGTGTGTGTGTGTGTATAATGGTCTTTTCAATATTATTTCTGAGCTAGTAAAAAATACATTAGAACCTACTTCTGTTTCTCTTCTGTTCATGTGGATGGGTTGAGTGCGTCGCTCTTATTTTTTTTTAACTAGTTCAGGCATTGGCTTTAAAGATTAAATGCTAACAATGCTCACGTTAGTTGAAACAATAAGCACACTGCTAATTGTTTGCAATGTTTTTCTTACGGCCTTCAATTGTATTTATTGCCAATTTGCTTTAAATAGTTTTTTTCAGTTGTTTTCAGTTGCATGAAATTCCTCATTTCTTTTAATAGAATGATTAATGTCCTGTCCTAAATGATCCATGGGGCTAGTTTTTAAGTGATTCTGTTTATTGAATTGCAGATTGTAAGAGACAAGGGTGAAAGAAAGTATGCAGTAACAATAACATACCTGGGTTTAATTACTAACAGAGAATCCTGGTACTGAGTACCATGTCATTTTACAAATATGTCCTTAAATATTAGACTCCAATCTGCAATAGTGGAATATACCACTATTGCATATAGATTCCATCTGGGTGGGGGACTAGTTGATAGCCTACTAATAATTGCTAATTTTCTTTCAGTGAAACGCTTCAGAGAACCAAAGCATGAAAGACGTCCTTGGAGAATTTGGTAAATGTCTACTGTCTTTGCAGGCTGAGAGTGATTAATTATAAAAGATGTAATATGACAATGATTTCTATAAATATTATCTCTTCACTCTATCTTTTGTAACAGAGAAAATCTTGCCAAAGTGTAGGAGTAGCCAGTTATAGTTCTCTATAAGTAATAGAAACTTAATATTATGTGATTGGCAACATGGATTCCAGTTTTTGTTCAGTCATCTATTTGCAAAAATATTTTTTTAATTGTCTTGCTTCCAAAAGGCAATTTTAAAAGTGTCATTACTTTCCGTATTACAGTAATTTCTAAACCTAAAGCATATACATTTAATAAATAAATAAAGCTTCACACCTTTTTCCTAGTTGCAATTCTTACAACAAGCTTATGAAGCATGAGATCCAAGGGAACCTCCGTACAGGTAGTCCTCATTTAACTAGCACTCGTTCAGTGACCATTCAAAAATCAGGAGAGCACTAAATGAAGGGATTTGCAACGTATGCCTGAAGTTACATGATAGATTGAACTGCCCTCGCAATCACCTGATTGTGATCTGAGCAAAATTCTTTTGCATATGTATGACTGGTTGCCGAGTGTCCCACTATCATGTGATGGCTTTTTACAGTCTTCCCTGCCAGCTTTCCCAAAAAGTCAGTGGAGAGGCCAGAAGGAAAGGTCACAAGTTGCTACCACTGAAAGAACTCCCTCTGGTTTCTGGGGACTGGCTGTAAAAGATCCCTCCTGAAGTCCAAGCAGAATCTTGGCACAGAGCGTTTGCAGCATGGGGTGTTTGCAGCCATCCCCAGAAATCAGAGGGGCTTCTCTCTCTCGGGGGGCTGGCTGAAAATGCTCTATGCCAAAGCCCTGCTTGGATTTCAGAACAAACCTTTTTCAGCCAGCCTCTTTGAGGGCAAAAGGGCTGCCTCCCAAAGGATTATGGTCCTCTGTGGGACCGAGTCCCTTCAGCAGGCAGCACTTAATGAGCTAGGAGATTGCTTAATGACTGCAACCAAGAAGTTTAAACAAAGCAGTCGTGACATCTCACTTAATGATTGCTTCACTCAGTAATTAAAGATTCTGGTCTCAATTGTGAATGTAAATTGAGAACTACCTGTGTGGTACACTTATTATTTGTCCCATGTTCAGTGCATTTGTTGAAAACAGGTTTTGATCTAACCCATTTAAATTTGGCCCCTCTGTTCTAGAATAATGAGAAGTATATTTTATTCAAATGCTTGATTACCTGTCAATTGCTGTTGTGGTCTAATGATGCTACTAGTCCTTTCACTCAAGAAATTGGCAAGATTTCAAAAGTGAATACTATTTAAAGAGAAATTTGTCTAGATTCCAAAAGCCATTAAATGCTTTGCAGTCTTTAATATCAGTATTTTGCTCTGTCATAGCTAAACCTAAAACTCCATAACTCTTCTTGCCCCATATTCTAGAATAAAACTATAATATCAACCATGTTTGTGGATGAGGGGGCGATTCTAGAAATATAAATTATAACTATATAAATTAAAATATGCAATTATTCAATTTGATGTCTAAAAACTTAATTTTTGTAGGTTTTTGGATACTTCCAAACAAGCCATAGGGATGATGTTCATCCATTTTGCCAATGTATATTTATCAGACCTTACTGAAGAGGATCCCTGTTCACTGTAAGTGAAGAACAATCTTACTGAAGTTCAGCTAACAAGTATACCAAGATATGCACCAAGTTTTATTTTTCAAAATTAACATATTGTTACCATAGAAGTACTGCCTAGACCTGATATGACCAAAAATACGTCCTCTTGAGTGCTGAAGACAGTAATCAATGATACTATGTCACTTGAATTCTTTAATCCTCCTATTCTTTAATCCTTTAATTTTCCAATGGTGGAAAATTAGCTTGTGCTTTCTGGAGAGATTTTCAGGACTTCCTGTCCCCTGCTGTTATACATTTTTCTTTGTTAACCCAGATCCAACTTTTCCTTCATCTCTCTGGGTGATGTTTTGGGCTACAGCTGCACTGCACTGTTGAATTTAAGGGTCTCCAGGCTCTGAAATATAGCAAATAGCCGATACTTGTCATGGTAGTTGGCAATTTTTGGCTAACCGTAGCTAATTTTATTAAAACTAAAGTTGAACAAGGTTAGACCTGATTGGTTCTTTGATGGGGTGCATAAAACATCCCAAGATTTGTAGGCTAGATTGGAAAATCCCAAAAAATAAAGTGAAGTTAGTGGCAACCTGTTTCCATATTTTTTGCTAGGATAAAATCACTCAGACTCTAGAGCTTTTATCATTTATATTTAGCCTAGCCTTCAAATCAAGTTGATAAGTAGGTACAGAATATCTACAGAAAAGCATCAAGCTATTCCTTTGATGCTGTAATTGATGAATACATTAAAATTAAAACAATATATTACATTCCATTGTCAAGTGACATGCACAGTACCACAAAAACTGACTAACATGCAGTCAACTGTGCAGAAATTGTCCACTTTTATATTAGCTGAAGCAACAGTGACCTCTGCTGGCCTTTACATATAATAATTGCTCAAATTATTCTAACTATGTACTCAGTTTTGTTTATAGGCTTTCATACCCTATAAGGTGGTGGTTGTTTTTTAAGTAAAATATTGCATTTTTCTTTTGTGCTATATTTTATGTATTCGAGCATTTGCAAATTAATTGAACAGGAATTTTGGTTGTGGTATTTTTAAACTGCTGTTTCTCCAAAGAGCAAGGGTGGTGCACAGTTTCCTCTCCAATTTTTATTCATGCAATTGCTCCACGTGGTAGGTTATCTAATCAGCTTTATGGCTGAGCAGGGTTCTGAATCTAGGTTGTGCTGACCCTGTTGCAACATGCTAATGATTATGTCACATTTTTCTCTCTGTGTGTCCATACTATGCTAAAAACTGTTTAAAAATATTATTGCCTTTGCTTTAAATGAGACAGAGAATAATATCTGTTTGTATATTAGGAGCTACAGTTTTTATATTAAAAGAAAAATGCTCAGATTAACTTACTTTTACAATGAGGCCATTTCCATCTCTTTTATTTTGCTGTCTCAGTTTTATAACTTTGTGAAGTATATATTAAAAATCCTTAGTAGATGATCCCACTAACAGAGCTGTTTGAATGACCTGAAAGAATAATATGCTGTAGGTTACATCCTAGTTCTATACTAAAATTGAGGTTCTTTACCTGTATACATAGAAATGCCAATATTATTATTATTATTATTATTATTATTATTATTATTATTATTATTATTATTGAGATTTTTTTATTGCTGAGACTGGGAAATTGGAGTATATTTTCAGAAACTGAAAATGTTGATCAATAAAAATTTCAATCATCAAAACTACACAATTTTAAGAAAAATCAGTCTTTAAATTTGTGTGTGCTTTTCTCACCCTTTCAGATACCTTATCAATTTTCTGCTAGATGCCACTTTAGGAATGCTGGTAATTTATGCTGGTGTCCGAGCAGTAAGCAGTGTTGTTGAACGGCAGCAATGGGAATCTCTTCGTTTTGGTGAATATGGTAAAAAGCATTTATTATTCTTTGAAATAATTATTTAGGTGACATTTAGGTTTCAAATATAGGGCTTGGCAAATGGTTCTGTCGTTGGTATTTTGAGCTAAAAGTGTTTGAGCACTATAAATAGCCAAATCTTAAAATACATGAAATTCCAAACATTTTATTTAACAGTTTTTTCTGCTTTGTCTAAGTCTGATGAGCCAGTGCAATTTATTTTTGTTTTAATTTCTACTTTTTAAACTTGAGGACTTTATTAGATACTTCCTTCTTTTTCTTCTCCATTCTCTGATGACTACTGATAGCAAGAATAATAATACCATCACTATATGTGGTATAAGAGAGAACAAATTTCAAGGTGATATGAACATCCATATTTAATATTTAACCATAAATCTAAATTGAATTCTTTATTAACCATTTCCAAAATACTCTTGCAAGTCACCAAGTTCTAACGTAATATGTGTGTTTCCCAGCCAAGTTTCTAATCTTGAGATTATGCATATTTGTGCCCCACTTACTGGTAAACATAAGGCAAGCACTTGTTTGTTATAAAATTAAATCAGAATGAATGAGGATGGTAACTGTTTGGTAAGCATATCCTTAGGAAAAACTTTTTAGCATGCATGGTTTAAGTGCAGATAATCTTTGTTTAGCAACATAGTTGGGACTGGAAACGCCATCACTAAGCGAAGTGGTCACTAAGTAAAAAAAAAACATATAACCATGATTATATTTTTTGACTTGAAACTTTATATTACCTGTTGTTTGCCTGCTTACTCCCTTGTAATCCCTTTATCTCTCTGCTCTGCAAGGAGAGGAAAAGAAAAATAATAGTTCATACACAGGACATTGTGTACTGACTAGAATGGTGAACATGTGACTGAGGGACACTGTGAATGTCATGAATGTGGGCATTGGTTGTATTTTTTCAGCACTGTCATAACTTCAAACAAATGCTGAATGAGACAGTTATCTCATGCCTAGGTCTATTCATATCTATGGCAAAAGAATACATATAAAAGTATGACTAATTTAATAGTTTCCAATGAGAATTAGTGGAAGATATAAAGATATGAGATTCTGTATGTGGGATAGATATTTATTTGATAGTGCCAATTTTAGGTATAAGGAAGGAAATGTGGAAGTTGCTTTGAATATAGCAGAAAGTATTATGTTATAGAGTGGCACTGAAGTGTCTAGAGTTATGCTGATAGGAAGTATGAAAAAGAATGCTTTTGGAAAGATGACATGGAAGAAGCTGTGGGTGGGAAAAGAGCATTCAAGAAAATGGTGCTGCAGAGTAAAAATATTGAGTAATATATAGAAACTGAATAGGGTATTTACAAAGAATGCAGCTAAATAGAATGGGTTAAAAGAGGCAACGAAATTTTAGTGACTTTGATGGAAATTATTTTGGAAATGGTCAAAGAAAGTTAAACATGGAAGTCTAGTAGAATGAATGGAATCAAAAATAAAAGTGATTAAATAATTCAGGATAAAACTGAAATGAGTGATTGATGAAAGAAGTATTTTATAGATTTGTAGGGGCTAGTAGTAATATATCAAGAGTGGAATTGAAACAAATAGTATAAATTATAGAATCCAAGAAGAGGAAATAAATTAATAACAATGTTAAAAAGACTTTTAAGAGTGCAGATGTAGATGGCACTACTAGAGAAATGTTAAAAGTTGGATATGGTTTGTATATAGAATGGCTCTGCAGCTTGTTTAATATGTATATGAAGTTTGCATCTATACCAGAACGCGTCTAGCAATAATAATTGCAAAAACTATGGGGAATTCATTTGTGTCAGTGGGAAACTATCTGATCAAAAACATACAAAAGGTGACAGCAAAATAAGGAAAATGCAGTGTGTCTATTCTGGACAAAGGGTACAGAGGCTAACATTTTGTTTAATTATTGGGAAATGTATGAGCAGGAGAATGAAAATTGGTTGTATGCTTGTTGATCTAGAGAAAGTAAGTAGTTTTAAAATATGTATGACAATAAATGAAATACTAAGCAAGGGACAAATAGTGAGAAGGCAGTAAGACAAGGATATATGAAGTTCCCTTGGTTTGATACATTTATGAATAGCACTAGCACTTAGGCTTATATACCGCTTTACAGTGCTTCACAGCCCTTTCTAGCAGTTTACAGAGTCAGCACATTGCCTCTAACAATCCAGGTCCTCATTTTACCAACCTCAGAAGGCTGGAAGTCAAACTGCTGGCAGTCGGCAGAATTAGCCTGCAATACTGAATTCTAACCACTGCACCACCATGGCTCAGAATAGATGTATAAGGAATGCTTATGCTGATGTTAGAGGTTTGTTGATAGGTGATGTAAGTGCGTGTATACTATTGTGTACTAATGATGTGTTGTTGGCTGAAAATCCAAATAACTTGTAGTAAATGTTGACATTGTATGATTAAAAAGCATGAATCTGAACATTTATGTATTAAATGCATAAATTTGTAGATGGTTATGTTTGACAGGGAAAATGGAATGAATGATTGTCATTTATACATAAATGAAAAAAACCTAGAATAAGTATATGACTTTGTGCAATTTATGACTCTGTGTACCTGGGCAGCATATTAATTAAAATGGAAAAATGGATAAATTTTAAGATGTGCAAACTTTGATAGAAAAAAAGTAATGAATAGCACATGGTTGTTGCAAAGAATAAATCGAAAGAAGTAAAGTTTTATTACATGGAAGTGAGAACTGATTATGTCATTTAAGATGAAAATTAGAAAAAAAAATCAGTGAGGTGGATGAAAGTGGAATAGATTATTTTAAAAGGGCTGAGGAGGAGGAGGAAGAAGACGGTCAATAATAAATGGATACTGAAGGGATGCACTGAATACCAGGATGGAAGAAATTGGTTGTAACAGTTTGGTTAGAAAAGAAAAAGAGGATCAAATTGCAAAACTGTTAGCCCTTCAGGGTAGACAAGTCAAGAAATAGGCTCTGTATTGTAGCCAGATGGAATAACAGGATTTCGAAACCTAAGTTTTCCCCCGTCTCATCTTATACTAAAGAAAATCAAGATGGGCTTATGTCTTCCTCAGACTTCCCTATTTCTCAGGACTTGCAGTCTTTTCTGCAGGTCCTCCTTTAACAGCCCACTCCTTTCTTCCCTATCTTCAAGATAAGCTCTAAATTACTTTCAAAAACAAATATATGAAGTAAGAATGGCTGCATTGAGAACATAGGGGAAACTAGCTGGATGGAAATGAATGAAATCCACAAAGAAAGAGAGGTGAGAAATTTAAAGAATAAAGGGCAAGCAACGTATGAAGGGATGTATGAATGTGGTGGCAGCATGGATGGTTTGCAAGGATAAGAAGATAATGAGGTATTTTGAACTGGGTGGATGTACACTTGATCTAGTTCTGTTTCCTTTTCTTATCTCGGATCCTTATGGCTTACCATTTTGTTTCTGTGCTTTGCATAACATTGCAAAAGGGAATAACATAATGCATACACACCCATACACACACACACACACACACACACACACACACATTTTGTCAGAACTTCTAAGTGTCACAGAGGTTTGGGAGACAGTTGAGAATTCTAATTTAAAATTATAGCTGGCATTCAGTGGTGCAGGGTTGGCTGAGATGTGACGATTTATTTTAAGTATGCTTAATGGAATGTCTGACTTCATTTTTTTTTTAAAAATCCATGAAATGTAACAGCCTTCTTTGGAAAGCATCCTCACTTTTTAAAATGGTTTGCCAGAAAGCAACAGTAAAATTGCCCAGAGCAGCCATTTTCATTTTTCAATTCTATTCCTAAAAGACATTTTCAAATCATTATGGCATATTCAGAAGACTTCTGTTCAGGAGAATATTCCAACAATTAGTCATGATAACTATATATTACCTCCAGTGCCATAGAGAATATATCTTTCATTTGCTGAGGAACGTAAGAAAGGGAGTCTTGGTATGTTACTAGTCTTACCATGGCATCTGGCAATGAATGTGAAAACAGGATGCTAGAAAGATCCAGAATGATTCTTAAGTTCATGTAATGTTAATTGCAATTTTCTGTCTTCTTGAACATATTCCAGCTATAATATAGAAATCTAGCTATTGAATATATTCATTGTTTAGGTTTTCCATACAGATATAAAACAGTTAAGAATAGGGAAGAACATTAAGAATTCTATGAAGATTTGGCTTTAAATGACCTGAATGTTGTATCTACCTCTGTGTGTTCAGAACAGTCCTATTCTGAAAATACGGCTGTAGGTAATCTAATTAAATTCAACAAAGCAGTCATTACTTCAGAAAATAGTATGGTTTCCTGTGCGGGATAAGGAATTCTACCAGTAACTGAATCCCATTTATTTTAAAATAAAAGGTAACTTCATGGTTGTTTTTTTTAAATTGACCAATCCCCAAGATTTTTTTTAAAAGCAATCTAAAAATAGTTTATGCAGTCTGTCAAAATAATCTTTTTCTCTCAAAATGACAACCTTTAAACAATAATGATATTCAGGCAACTTCATTTTATACTTGCCAAGAGAGGAACCTTGTTAGTCTTTATAGCCAAAAAATAATGATGAAAAAAGTGTCGTGCAGCATTTTAGAAGCTAACAAATTTATTTTTCTAAAAGTAATAGAGCACACTTAGCAGTAGTGAAGTCAAAAGGTCAAAATGTAGTTGAAATGCTATTTATAGCCAAAACACTTCATTTTCTTGCTTTCTTTTTCAGCCTTCCTATCCAACATTTAATGTTACTAACTGTCCTGTGTGATGCTTGTATATTAGAAAAGCAATATATAAAATGTTACATAAATCAAGTAACACACTTATTTTATTTACACATATCAAACCCTGGAATGTGGTAGCATTATAATTTGATAAAATTTGTTTTTACAAACACAGAATAGATTTTAAGTGGCTATCTTCAATTTGATAATTTTAAAAAATGTAGTAGCCAAATAGCCAGTTGCATCTGCTTTCTACTATTGTGCTGTATTAT